TTTAGACATTTGTCTACGTAAATTTAAACGAAGCCTCAAATTGAACATAAATGTAACATTATAATATACATAGCTATACCCCACGACTTTGTCCGTAGTTGTATTGTGATATTAAAAACCTTTCTTAATCTAACATATCAAATGCAAAATTAATTTTTCGAATTATAGTTCCAGATAATTTTAATCCAGCATTTAAACAAACGAATAAAACTCCTTGACTTTATATGTATGTATATATTAACTAGCGACCCGCCCTGGCTTCGTACGAGTAGTAAAGATATATACTTAAATTTTTTGCATCAGCTTGTTGCGTCGAATGTGAATTAGATTTACATGTAATATAATACCACACTACTTGAAGTATTTTTAATGTATTTTACTTCCTATGAATACTGTATCCTTCTAAATAGCTTTTGCAAATACCATAATTGATATGACAAATCTATCCTTATAAAATAGACATATGCCATTGCGAATTTTTTTGTCAATAAATTAGACAAGATTTTCCATTCGCTCAGACGATTTGATTTTCAACTGACTTCAAAAAGAAGAACGTTCCCAATTTGATTGCATTATATTAGTTATCTAATAACTTCGCCATTTGTAAACCGACTCGAATTTTTATTTTGCCTGAAAGGATATTCTTATAGAATCGGTTTATTAGTTTAGTTTTTAAAACCAAACGACAAGTTTTGTCACAAGTGAAGTCGGTTTTTTCTGGGACACTGGGATCTTTAATTATTTCAGACTTATTCAATAATTATCGTCATATTTTAACTTACCTTAACGAATCATACCTTTCTCAAGAATCACTCTGTCGATAAATGACAACCGCAATTTTTTGAGATCATCGCGAATACACAGACAGACAGACAAGGTTTTTAAGCTTTTATATTATTATATATAGATTATTTGATACCATTTTAATGTTCATGTAAAAATATTTTTTTACAGGTTTACTTAAATAAAAATAATATCCGAATTCTATAAAAACACAAATATCTTTCCGTAACAATAAAAAATAACTATTAGATAGAAAATAATAAAAAAAATCAAGCACTTTTCTTGAAAAACCAAATATTAAGATAACTTGCTCCTGAATTTACTTATTATGATAACAAGTATCATGACATACAAATATTATGAAGAATTTATCGAATATTCTTATTAAATTATGAGTGTAAGTAAGAGGTAAAGATGGCTGTGTGGTCCCAGCATAAAATAGACCTCCCCTTCCTATCCCGTGGGTGTCGTAAGAGGCGACTAAGAGAACTTTTCGGTAGCGGCATGGGCAGCAGTGTCTTAGCTCAGCTCTTAAAATATCTCTAAAAGCCTAAGTACGGTTACCAGTCCGCCTGCCAAGGGTAGCAACTACTGGTAAAACTCCCTTTACGGGGAACGGTTATATTCAACAGTGGAAAGTTAATTGAAATGAAAAGATGCTTAAATGGCTGAACAAATTATATGAAACATGGTAGATAGATGATCCAAATGTTAAATTATATTATAGATAAAATACTTTGTAAACATGTAAATCGACATCTGTGACATGTTTTACATTATGTAATTGAATTTCACGCAAACCAAGTCACGGGCAGATACTATATACCTATTTTGAAATAAGTTTACGAAACAATGATTTAAAAGAAAAATTCAATCATCCACTAAAATAGTACAGTCGTTGGTATTTTTTTTTACTTTTGCACCATAAATAATTGGTAGACCCGATTGTAGATTTATGGTTATTAAAGATGAATCGAGATACCACGTTCCGCTACAAAATTCATTTACATGGAAATTTGCGTACCCTGATCGTCGAAATCATATTATGTCTATTACGAAATACATGCTTGAATAAAGGTATATATATCAAACGGTTATCAAATCAATTTATCTCGTTTAGTTTAGTTCCAATTCAATATGATTGAGTAATATTATCTACAAGAGAGGAGGAGAAATTTGTTAGTAAAGGCCTTATGTTCTCATTGCTAGCAATGTACCCTGTTTTTTTTTTATGGATGATAATGAAATGGTAACCCCGCCTGCGCTAACGAGATACGCTGGTGGAGCACCAGTGTAAGGTGATAGATGAGAATGAAAACAGGCCAGTTAGCCCATCATGATGAATTCATCAGGAATTAACCATGATAGTTTCCAGGGAGAACCGCGAGGAGGTCGACCTGGTTGGGTATATTGCTAGCACAATGTACCCTGTTAGGTCAATACCATTGTAATCCAGCATGGAAACGCAGTCAGCGTCCTTGGCGCCATATAGCCAAGATCTTCAACAGAACAGGCTAAGTTATTGTGTTAATGCCTAACTTGTATATATTTTACCTGGAATTTATTCTTTATATTTTTTTTTTTAAATATAATATATATAGGAGAGATTTGTTGGTAATAAAATTTAACACTCCACTGCTAGCAAAGTACACTGTTAGGTTGAGCTCCATGCAGTTCCCTTATCAGGAAATCATTGTGGTTAATTCCTGAAAAATTCATAACGATGGGCCAACTATGACTTTACTCTCTACTATCATTTCTCACAGATGTCACCAGAGGGAGACTGTACAAAAGTCGATTGCTTGGGTACCTCTGACCCATTAGTGTTTCTACCGTGAAGCAGTTGTATTTCAGTTTGAATGGTGAGATATGGTGTAAATTTACAGGGCACAGAGGAATAACATCTGAGTCCTCAGGAATGGCAACGCATGGGGGGTATCATGGGCGAACCAGTATACTCTGTTATGTCCATGGTACTGCTCATGTCTATAGGCGACGGTTACCACTTTCCATCGGGTGAGCCGTCAGCTTGTTTGCCATTGTAAGTTGTATAAGAAAAAAGATACTTCTCTAACGAATACCAATAACACAATTGTAACGCTTCAATCTATTTTTATTAAAAAAAAAAAATTATAACTGAAATATTCTCAGTTTAAGAAATTTCGATTATATATATATATATATATATATATATATATATATATATATATATATATATATATATATATATATATATATTATATAGATATATCAATAGAGGTCGGTATAATATAATCAAACTTTTCGTTTAAAAAGCCAGAAACGAATATCTAGACAAAAGTATCCACATTCGGTTACCGGACTCCACAATTTATGGTTATCGAAGTCGCGTCGCAGATATCTTGGCAGCTAACGGATGAGCCCGGAGCAAACGGCCACATACATTATTTTTATGTTCACTTCAAATTTAATTCCTCAGTATAATTATTTTCATACTTCTGTACTGTATTTATAATAATAGTGAAATAAAATTAAGTAGGTTCCTAATCTGGTAAAGAATTGCATTGCTAGTTCATTGAATTTATGAGTACAGACTATCTATCTTAATATTTAATCAACTATGTAGGTAGAAATTACAAATAGGAATGTGTTTAATTTCTAGGTACTTACTGGCTCACAAGCTGGTTCGACAGATTTTAATCTCTGCTTTTTTTATGTAATTTAAAAAAGAAAATGAGTAGACGTTCCGACTCTGTCCTTAATCTATATCCCACCTAATAAAAATGATACTTAGCGTAGGGGAAATATATATATATTATTTACTATTATCTTAAATTACATAGATAGAGGCTCGATGTCTCAAAAATGGGTCAACTGTTTTTCAGCTATTTGTCAAATTAGCTGACTCGATTTTTATGACTGTTCTATATATTTACGCACATAATGTATCTTGACGAATCTATATTTAATTATTTAATAAATAAAATGAGTTTTTACGCATTAAAACATGCAAAAATTATATAACAAAATAAATATAGAAGTTATAAAGGAAACACTCATAACTATTTATCACGCAAAACTGAATGAAAAAATTGACCCGCTTTTCTCGAAGCATTTGTATGGAGACACTCTATCTATATAATCAAAGTCGAAGAAGTTCGTATCTATGGGCGACAATTAATACTTTTCATTAAATAAAGCATCAACTTGTTAAAACCTAATACGTAAAACACGCTTTATTATACATTATATTACACTATATTATATTATAAATATAAATATAGCAATTATTTTTATTATCACTGATTTTTTGCATATTTTCTTATATTTAAAAGTCATTAAACAATTCTAAACGCCGGACAAAAAGACATTTTAAGCAATTAATATCATATCTATCTACCTACCAAAATAATAAATATTAGTTCTATCCAATGACATAACGTAAATTTTCTTCTTTTCTATTTACAGCATCAGCTTTGGGGTTGATTCTGAGGTATCGTTTCCCTATCCTTATCTTTTTGTAGATCATTGTAAATTAAGTTTATATTATTTTTTTATTTAAATCTAAAAAGATTAGTCCATATTGATACTTGGATTAAAAATTTCGTGGTGATATTAAATTTAAATCAGAGATATGTTTAGAGAAATAGTGCCACAGAATCGAACTCATTATACGCTTCATATGTAAGTAGCTCTAAATTCTAAAATATTATACAATCGAATATATACGACTACAACAGCAAAACGAAAAACGTTTCCATATTCCCTTCCTTCGTTGAACAATATGTTAACTTATATGGCAGATTTGTTTGGAATACATATTACTAGATAGCATAGTATATACTATGTATTTCTATATCTTTGACAGTTTAATTTTTTATATTAAATATTAAAATAATTCACTAAATTAAATGCAGTAATGAAATAAAAACAAAGTATTTTAAAATTATTTAATCGTTTTTCATTGTTACATATACCTGCTCAAAACAAAACCAATAGTTATAACTAATTATATAATGATAATACTAAGATACACTCTAGTTTCGAGATATTTTATATCATCTCCAATTAATATATTTCAAAATATATTAAATTATTTATATTATACAATCAACATAATATTACTACCTTACAACATATATACTGTATACAATATTTTAAGCTCATTCATTTTTGGGACATATTTTAAACTGGATTTTATAATTAAAATTTAAAGGTGGAAATCAATTTTGGGATCGTTAATTTTAAGTTTTCGCGTTGTTTACACATATTGTAAATACATAATCGGGATTTAACGCGATTAAAAAAATTTGGGATTATCTGTCGACTTATCAACAATTTTTTTTTCGATAATACATCTCACCTTCTCACATACTGCTGCACAATTCATCAACAGAGTTCCGATATTAGTTTGTGCCTAACTACATGTTATGTCAAATTCTTTAAACGTGTGTGAAATCTAATTCACAAATTAACATGCTTTGCATGAATATTATAATATAAAACTTCGATAATAAATATTACGAAGCATAAACACAGTAGAAAGAGTAATATATATATGAATCCTCTAAAGTCATCCAAACTTAGTGGCTGAGGATCATTGTTGCTGTGAAGAATATCACTGTTGTTCAACTTTATCATATTAGTATGTAAAATATCCTTGGAAGCTTTTGCAATAAATCCTACTTCCACCATTTTTTGTATGAGATTTATAATTCTTTCAGCAGCTGGCCAACCCGGCCTTATGTACATGCAGGAAGGTATAGTAATAACTGGTGGACCAATGTACTGAACATTTGTTCCTAACAAGAACAAATTAACTGCTGTTTTATCTGTTAATAAAATAAACCTTTGTCCTTTCGCAACATTTCTTACATTGATATCAGCGTCGTATGCATTAACCACCTTATAATCATTTTCTAGTTCGGTACCCTCAAATACATTTTTAAACATTAGCCCCCCTCCATAACCGTCGACATTTTTTATCGCATAATGCATCGATGTCCAGGGAGGTTCTAAATATATATTTTGTAAGCCGCTTGTTAAATCTCCTTGTATGACCAGGCGCAATATGATACAGAACCAAACCCACATAATGAATAGACTATTAACTAAAATTATTTTTGTTTCAAATTTGGTTTCTTGCCCTATAAAAATAGAATAAGTGTTGATCAAAATATCGCTCTTATACTTAATCCTTAGTGTATTATATTTCGTAATAAGTTTTGTTACTGATACAAATATAAAAAATGTTACACAGAAAAATAGGATAACTGAGTTATTAAAAAAAGAATGTAAAATCTTAACCCACGTTTTAATTCTTCTTTGCGGTGGTCTCATCCAAGATAGCTCTACATATTTGTATACTATGGATATTTGTGCTTTTTTATATCTTTCTAGGTTCAATAAAGTAGGAGGTACTACTATGTCACTTTTTTTTTGTAAGAGATTTAGAAAAAATTTAGTATTAGTAACAGATCCTATATTTACATCTAAAGACATATGTGTAAACTCCAAACTAGAATTCAGTATATAACCTAGGAAAAAAGGTATTTGAGCTTCTAGACCAGTAATAGACACGGCTGTTCCATTTACTACATCATATTGAATATATGGTTCATAATATATTAAAGTAAATTTGATAGAACAGCCCTGAAAATTTTTAAATTTATTTGTCAGTGCCTCTTTTACATCTGTTATTTTGTTTAATAATACGGGATTCGTATTTCCACAAATTCCATTGCTATATGGAAAATATGTAAATATTCTTCCTTTGTTATCCTTCATAGTTAGAAAAAAAATATCAGCGATATCGTACTTCCAAGCAATATTCATAATTTCCCTCAGGTTTGTTACGTCTTTATTGGCCACTACTATTATCCGTATGGACACAACCATAACTTCATAAATTAATTTAAGGTAAGCTTCAAATTCATTGGATTTTGATGTGAAAAGCACGACTTGCCTATAATCAAGAACAATTTTCATCTCACGTATATTTCCATCAGTCATATTCCAAAATGATGCACAATATGTGACTCCATGAAATTTTGATAAAAATATTGTGACATCATCGCAGTTGTTATGACACCAAATCACGGCTGTTATCCTGTCATTGTAGAAGACCGAATGTGCAACACTCACAGCTATATCCGTCAAAACTGTACTATTTATTTCCTTCACAAATATTACTTCAAATATGATCAATATCTTGAAGATGTACATATTTGTATTATTTTTTTGAACTCAGTAGTGATATCCTATCTTTGAGTTGATAAAATAAACACAATAGATACTACACTAAAGCTTTATTAAGAAAGTAATATGTGATATACAAAATTGTTAGGAAATACAAGTAATATATCTAGAAATAATTGAAGTGCAATGTCCAATATAACTTCAATTTCGATTATTCACTAGCGACGTATATAATTATAACAACATTGTATGATGAAATGAATAAAAAATTCAAAACAAAATCATATGTTCCTGTGCAATATTATATAGAAAATGTCACTATAATAATGGAATCCGCCTTGACTTATGTTCAGCAATGAAAAATTAACGACTGAAATGATAATAATGATGAATGAAATTTGTGTATAAGCTGTTCTTGTATTTTTTTTTTGTTGGATGAAAATGGATTGGTAACTCCGCCTGCGCTAACGGGATACGCTGGCGGAGCACCAGTGAAGGGTGATCGATGAGAATGAAAACAGGCCAGTTTGCCCATCATGATGAATTCATCAGGAATTAACCATGATAGTTTCCAGGGGAAACCGCGTGGAGGTCGACCTGGTTAGGTATATTGCTAGCAACGAGATTTTTAGTCTCCATTACTAACAATACCTTCCCCCCCCCCGCGCTCTTGTATTTATACACACGTAAAACAATATTACAAATTAAACATTGCAACTTATAACTACAATAGAACTTAAAATAAAGCAAAGCTTTCTCATTACCTGCATTTTATTTTGTCACAGCTTACAGATCAGTAATAAAATTTAGGTAGGTTAAAGAGAACTATAACTATTTTTAATGAAATAGCAATTTTCTATACTACATGATTTATTGAACATCAAATTTAAACCAGTATTCTTTATTAGTTTTTGCTGCTGAAACATTTATTAAAAAAATACAAGTAAAAATAAAATAACATGCCATACAAGTACAATTGCTAGACGGAAGAAACACAAGAGATGAAAATAGGAGAGAGATTAAATTTGTGTAAAATCTTATTCTCATATTGTGTAAAGTTTAAAAACAAATTCCCCAGGCCCGTAACAAAATCCACCCAATTATTACCACTATCTCCGCTCACTCCCACCAACACCAGCGTCTTCACAGGCTCTACGAGTTGCAAACTACAGCCTGCAGTATGATATGTTGTGATGCAAAACGCCATACCCCTACTGAAGTAGACTTCCGGTTAAAGTCGAAATAATTATCGGAAATAACAAACATTTTAAGTATATAAAATTCACGTTATAACGTTATATATATAAGCTTAGAATTTGACACAACAGTTACTACAGTTAACAATATTTCAAAATATTTTTAGTACATACACAATTTATTCATTATAATAATAATAATTTATTTATTTATTCATTACATTACACACTAGCTTTTAGTTGCAACTACGTGTGCATCATTGGGATATTTTTTCTGACCGGAATAAAATGTAGCCAATCTCCTTCTCCATCCCATATAGTAACATCTATAGCAAATTTTGTATTGGTTAAGCCGTTAAGCCGCTATAAAGTAACTTTGAAACTCACTTTAAAATTTATACTAATAGTAAGGATTATTACTCCAATAATTTTGCAGGTTGTGCATAAAATATAATTTATCTCTACTTGTATCATAATTAAATATTTATCAATAATTATTACAACTAATCATGTGAGGATCATGAAGCGTTCCAGTTTCAAGAGCTACCATATAGAGTAATACGTAAATAAGTACATATATTTTTTTGTTCTTATAAATATGTTATATATAAATATAAATAAATTATAATGTACGATAATAACTTATGTAATATATGATTTATTTATTTTTAATTACAACTATTAATAAATCCTATGTTTTTTTATTACATACAGTTTACTTTTTCTCGAGTCAAAATATGATTAAACTCAAAATAGATACAAATATTTTTTTCTTCTTTTATGCAACTTAGAATGGCAAATAACTGACGACCCACCTAATGGAAAGTGGTAACCGTCGCCTATAGATATGAGCAACACCATGGACATGACAGAGTATACTGTTTCGCCAATGATACCCCCCATCCGATACCATTCCTGAGGACTCAGGTGTTATTCCTCTGTACCCTGTAATTAACTTACAACTTAGCTTACAAATTAACATAAGTTTTATATATTTTATAATATGATAATTCAGTTATGAATATTATGGTACACAAACACATTGAAACTAGTAGTATATATATGAATCCTTTAAAATCATTTAGACTTAATGGTAGAGGACCTTTAGTTTCATTATTACTAATATTTAATTTTAACATGTTAGTATGTTGGTTCTCCCTAGTGGCTTTTATAATAAATCCTACTTCAATCACCCTTTGAATGAGGTTATTTATTCTTTTTGCAGCTGGCCAGCCCGGTCTTATATAATAGCAAGCAACTATACTAAAACTTGTCGGACCAATGAATTGAAAATCAGTACCTATGTTTACTAAATTAACTGCTACCTTGTCAGTTAGTAAAATAAATCTTTGTCCTTGCACAAGATTATTAAGGTAGATATAAGTGTCATCTAGACTAACTATTTTGTAATCTTTTTCTAATCTAGTACCTTTAAACATATTCTTAAATATCTCCCCTCCTCCATAACCATCTACTTGTTTTATCGCATCTTCCATAGATGACATAGGAGGCTCCAGTAATGTATTTTGTAAGCCACTCGTCAAATCTCCTTGTATAACTAGGCGCAGTATTACACAGAACCAAACCCACATAATGAAAAGACTATTAATTAAAGATGATTTAGTTTCGAATTTAGCTTCTTGTCCTATAAAAATCGAATACGAGTCAATTAGAATATTTTTCTTTCGTTCGATCTTAAGAATACTGCATTTTATGATAAATTTTGTTAGGACTACAAACATAAAAAATGTTGCGCAAAAAAATTGGCTAACCGAATTATTGAAGAATGAATGTAAAATTTTAGTCCACGTTTCAATTTTTCTTCGTGGTGGTCCGATCCAACAAAATTTTAATGTTTTATATGCATAGGATGTTTGTGCTATTTGATATCCATTTAAGTCAAATATAACAGCAGGCACAACAATATCACTTTTATTGTACATTATATTTGAAAAGAATTGGAGCCTAGATTTAATTCCTACAGTTAAACGTAAGTTTGTAGGTAAAAACTTCAAACTAGAATTCAGTGCATAACTTAAAAGATAAGGTATATCAGCTTCTAGACCATAAACAGAGTCAATTGATTCGTTTTCTTCGTTATAGTCAAATATAATATATGGTTCGTAATAGATTACAGTAAATCTGATAGGACAACCTTGAAAATTTTTAAATTTATTTGTTAAAGCCTCTTTTATGTCTGTTACTTTATTTAATAATACAGGGGCAGTATTTCCGCAAATTCCATTGCTATAAGGAAAAAATGTGAATATTCTTCCTTTATTTCCTTTCCTAATCAATATAAAAATATCAGAGATGTCATACTTCCAAGCAGTGTTAGTGATATCTATCAACTTTGTTTCTTCATTAGTTAATACTAATATAATCCTTATAGATTCAATCATGACTTCATAAATCAATCTAAGGTATGTTTCAAATTCATCTACTCTTGATATGAAGAGCACAGACTGTTTATAATTAAGTGTCGTTTTCATCTCTTGTATATTGCCATCAGTTTTTAATGATGCACGAAATGTAACTCCTTGAAATTTTAATAAAAAGATTGTTACGTCGTCACTGCAATTCTGGCACCACATCACGGCTGTAACACTGTTATTATAGAAGATTGTATTTGCAACATTAATAGCCATGTCTTCTAGAATCGTTCCATTTGTATCTCTTAGTAATGTAAAATTCATTAAAAATAATATTTTTAAGATAGCCATAGTTTAAGTTGCGAAAATAAAACATATGTTAGTCTTTGAGATTATACAAACTTATTCGTACGAAGATTTGTTGTGTTAGAATGTTATTATTGTTTGACTATATCCACAGAAATCGTCAGGCAAAGTAATTAGAATTTCATATTATATATGACGATACGAAAGGTAGTGAAATGGAATAATATGTACTTACACATGTAATTGAAATGAAATTATGCGGTGAATTATACTTGTCATTATACGAGACACTAACATTTCTTTTATAAAATCTGATACTAATATTAAAAAAAAAATCCGTTAATACAATATTTTATTACTATATAAAATATTTCATACTTTTATTAGTAAATTCTTTACTTATTTCTTAATTAGCAAGAGTGTATGAGAAAATCATCTCTTCAAATTTACACCAAAATAATATAAATCAATTTTGGTACTATCTATTCGCCTAAATAACATATCTTTTTTAGACATAACATAAAACTAATATCTTTAAAATTTTAATAGTTGGCTTGATATACTATTACTTTATCAGAGGGAAACTTTCTTTTGTCTGTATTGAAGAAGCTTTGCTAGTATAGTTCTGTTGGATTTCAATATTTTATTGTTCAATATTACAGTGATATTACAAGGAATAGAGGCATAATACTATGGTTCTCAAAAATGACCACCCACGAGGGATTTTATTGGCACACAGTAGATATATTCTATGATGGCCACAATCATGTAAATGTCTTTAAGGAATGAATACCACCTAACATCAGGCGGGATACCAGCTCATTTACTATTCTATGTTAAATAAAAAAAGATTCAATAGATAAGTGTAATTTAGAGCAGATACAGATCATTTATTAATGATTTACAAAATTACATTTCATTCAACATATTTGTCCATGAAACTAGTCCAAAACAAAATTATTGTTACTGAAAATGAGCTATTTACCACTGTGATCATCATCATCATCATCACCACACCCGCCTTTAATTATCCACTGCTGAAAATAAGGCTCTCCTTGGGGGGTTTTGCCGGTAGTTTTCATGCTTAGTAGGCGGATTTGCAACCGCAATCAGGCATCAGGTGTTCGAAGAGGGACGCTGCTGCCCATCCCTCAGCCTTCCTTAGTCGCCTACTACGACACCCACGGGAAAGGAAGGGGTGGCCTATTTTATGCCAGGACCACACAGTATGGGAGTGGGAGGGGAGATCTTTATTAGGTTGTTATTATTGTTTCTGAATGTAGAGAATTTTGGATAAGTATCGATTTAGAGATAATATATGAGAATTAACCCCGAAATATATGACTACGTAACCCTAATACATTTCCACGTAGACGTATGTGCATTTACTGAATCAATATTTGTACTTTTCATTATAATCATACCTAGATCATTGTCAACGTCAGTATATTGTACCACAATTTTCTTTATTTGTTGATCAATTTTATTATTTCATTCTGAATAAAAAGGATTTTGTAGATGTGTAGATTATGTGACGATTAATTTTATAGACGGCTTGTCCGTTTAATAATAATAATTTTACTTAATGACAGAGTAATCCTAGTAGGTACCATTATAAATCCGAAATATTGTATTAATGAGAATGGTAAAATGTTGGGCCATATTATACAACATGACGATTTTTTTAAGAGCATAGTAGAAGAAAAAATAGAGGGCAAAAGAAGAAGAGGAAGACCGAGGAATAACTACATGGGACAGATAAAAGAAACACTAGATGTCATGTCGTATAGGGAGGTCAAGGACCTGGGATAGAACTGGCTGGAAGAAGATGCATGAATTAGTTGCACCGACAAGAGGAAACTCTTAAATGAAAAAAAGAAGAGAATATTCGAATGGATGGATATTTGTTACTCTTTCATATAAAAAATTACTGAACAGATTTCAATGAAATTATGTCACGTGTAAGAACATAAGATAATTTGTATACTGATTCACGCAAGCAAAGAAACGGAATACAGCTAGAATTTAAAATGTGAAAGTTTGTAAAGATGTCTCTTATTCAATCGTGCTTAAATGTCTGAACGGATTTGAATTAAATTTGATACACAGGTAGATTATATCCTAATTCCTAACGTAATAAATAGAATGCTTTATTGTATATTGTATTTCATGTATATTGCTTCACATGGGTGAAACCGTAGAACGTAGCTAGTCAAAAATAAATCATACACTATAAGCAATATGGTAATAGTAGATTAATAACAAAGTTCGTTTATCTTGTGTTCATCATCGTACCAATAATCAAACACCGTATAGTGATTTATGAGCACTTTGTCGACTATATTCCAACAATCGATCTGTTCGATATTGCTTATTCTAAACTAGTTTTTACCTTCCACTGCGTTTGTTTTACCGAGATGCATTAATAAACCAGAATAGAAGTAGCCTTTACCCTTCAAATAGTACCTGTACACCAAATATTATGATTTCTCGAGACGTTAAGAGACAACTTATAATAGAATTATCATCGTGCCTCCGATTAAACTGTTTATAATTAATTACTCCTCTCCATCCAAAGGTTACCTGGAAGAGATCGCTTTTAGCGATCGCCCATTGTTTTCTCATTGTGATTATTTCTTATAATTGTTAGTATCTATAATAAGCTTACTATTGTAAGCTTTTGGAGGAAACAATAAAGAGTATCTATCTATCTATTTTATAATATTACTACCGTTGACCCGTGACTTCGATCGCATGACCAGCACATGTAGATTGACTAGGATAAATAGTAGGCCATGTCTTTTTACTATTCCCAATAGTACGTGTATATTTAATTTAATGACTATTAATATTTGTACATTATTATTATTGCAGATACATTAATAACAAAATTTATTAATTTCTAGCAATTTCCTGAAACCACCATGACTGATTTATTGTTACATTCGTCACGTGTGGGTTAACTGACCTAATTTATCCTCACCTATCATCCCTCACTGTACCCCGCTAGTGTATACCGATAGCGCAGACGGGGTTACCAATCCTTCATCATCTATTAAAAGACCTGTAAAAGACGTGGGGAGTACTGGGAGTGGCCCAACACGTGATAGCACTATTCGCTCTATTCATATAATAAATCAGAGCATTGCTTCGATTAACCGACTTGCGTCAGAGGTGTTCTTCTCTAGAAATCTGTCCGATTCTAGAATAATACGGGTATGCGACCTCCTGAGCCGCTGCAGTGCCCCCCTTTCCTTTCCTTTCCCATATAAGTCCCTTATTCCTCTTATTTACTAAATTCCTTTACGCATTTCCAACGTTCCCTTTCTTTTTTCCTCAATCCTTTCCTTCAAACTGTAGGTGGCGGAAACCACCAACTAATGCATTCCAAATCAGGCAAGCGGCCGGTCGTAAAACTAGAAGCCAAATCCTTTAGTGATATGAATAAAACTATATTACACCGACTCCAAATAATAATTGGGATAAAGATAGGAAGATGATTATATCTTCGATTAATCGATTCTATTATCGAGAAATAGAATTATATATTCGATTATCGAGAAATAGAAGGCAACGGGTTCGTGTGGATGAAATTACGAGGTACCCATCCCGTCAACTAATTCAAATAAATGCAAACAAAGACGTGAGTTATCTTCTGTGTAGGTACTTTAAATATGCACAGTTGCGGTTAATTCCCGTGAATTCTGTGGAAACGTCCAATCAAATATAAGTTACCTGCATGTTTGTATTTCATTGGCAAATGGAGTCAGTTCCCGATGTTTGCTCAAGTCTAATATCTGCCCTCTGAATTTCCAATTGATTGTTGGTATTGAATCGAAATGCAGATTATTCATTACTATCAATCAATCATTTATTGTTTTAATATACATACTGAATTGTTACCTATATTATTGACTAGCTTATTTAACCGTTTAGCCTTTTATTAGACCAATTTAAAAGCATATTCTTCCCTATAAAAATATAATTTGCCAAATTGATTTATAAGTGACAAAGTTCTGAGGATGTTCTAACAAACATAAAAATACATTAATTATATAGATTTAAATAATTGTATATTTGTATTAGTTTAGCTTTTTTCCTACTACTTCGTATCTATGAATTTCAAAAGTAAGAAAAGCCACTGAAATAGACTAATTTTAAATGACGTATCAAGATGAAATATACACCAGATTTTAAGTTACACCTTCAGAAATATAAGTAAAAACTTCATCCAATTTGGTACAGTAGCTTTTACGTGATGCCGGAACAAATATACGAATAGACAAACAAATAGAATGACAAACGTACAAAATTTCCAAAAATCAATTTATCACAAATATCTTCTATATACAGACATCGTCTAGTTACAATTTTATTATATTAGTGAGATATATGTATGTATAATTGAATATGTAGTACATAATGGTAATCAACATGCCGTATCTTATTATTACCACGATTGATTCTGTTAAAATATGTCGTAATTTTCAACCGACTTTAAAAAAGGAAGAAGGTATTACGCGTTTTATGTTTGTTACCTTATAACTCCGTCAATTATAAACTGAATTTGAAAATTATTTTTATTTTAATCTTAACTTTATCAAAATCGGCTCAATAGTTTAGGTTTTAAATCAAATTAAGTTGATTTACCAAATCAAAACATTTTTGTCGAACGCAGTCTTAAATTATTAAATGAGTCAATAGTTACTTGATTATACAATTTTATATATTATTTAACTATATTCTTGTCTCTCAAGAATATGGTTGAATGAATTTCTGTAAACATTCCTTTTTTAAAATGATCTATTCAAATTCCATTGTTATTTTTTTCTAGCATCCTGTGATTCCTAATTCTGAAATCTAGGTACCTCAATATAAGTAACTTGTTACTTACATTTTCTACCCTTACCACCCTTACCTTTTTTTATTAAACTAGAACAGCAAACAAGCAGACGGCCTACCTGATGGAACCGTCGCCTATAGACATGAACAATATCATGAACATAACAGAGTATACTATTTCACACATAAGACCCCGCAAACATTCAAACAAACGTAACATTCCTAAGGATCTCTGTAACTTGTAAATTAATTCTTCCGAAACAGCCATCCGTACACAACTGCTTCACGGTAGAAACACGAATGGGACAGAGGTACCCAAGCAAACAACTTTTGTACACAGTTTCCCTCTGGTGATACCGAATATTATTTATTTAAAATTACTACATATATATATATTAGATTCCTAACTACACTTATTATATAAAAAAAACTTGTCAAACTAAAACATTTTAAAATGATACTATTTATAAATATATTCATATTATTTATAAATTATAATGTGAATGCAGAAAGTCAGACCGTGAACTATCGACCAAAAAAGACGTTATAGAATAAATATATATAAATATTAGACAGAAAGTGGATACCAATCTCGAAACCTGGTGATAGTAGATATATAGTATAGTAGATATTAGATATAGACCAGATAACTCTTAATGAGGTAGTGGTGTTAACGACCCTATCTTTAGAATTGATTCTAAGTTATTATTTATAAAACTTATATATATAATTTTTTATAGTGGTATTTAAAGAGAGGAATGTAATGAACCTAAGTTTGATACCTAATTTAACGTTATGATGTAAACACTGTATTCATTCTGAAAAAAATTTGTTTCGAAATAAGTTTTTTAAATTATATAAATATATATATATATAATCCTTGTTTGTTACCTTATAGTACCTTAACGACTTATGTACTCACTATGAAATTTGGTATACACGTACTATATAGGATGCAGAATGATTTTTTATCAGTCACATATCCTGTTGGTCAATAAACATATCCTGTTGACGCGGACTAAGCCACCAGTAAAAGTTAATAATAATATAAAAATATTTTGAAGCAATATAAATATGGTATCGTGTGTAGATTTATAAATAAATACTAGAATACAAATAGATACAGGCTCAGCCTAGTTCGATGGCTAGTCGATGTAACTAGGTGTAAATTGTTATTAAATAAAGAATTATCAATTATCAATAAATAAATACTTTTTAAATATATATATATATATATAATGATAGATGGATAGGTGTTTGTTACGTTTTCATTGAAAAATTACTGAATACATTTTAATGAAATTTAGTGCACCTAATATCCTTTATAATTTGTAATCCTTTATATACTTACTGATTTACGTAGGCAAATCCGTGGGATATGGCTAGTAGTAATATAATCTAGCGGCAAATTCAATATATCATCTGAACCGACCGAAGATCGACGGTCAAACAAACAAACAGCTACATTCTTAAGTACATACACCACTTGATTGTAATCGCTAATAAGTAATGTTCATATCATAAAGATAAGATAGAAGAGTAGATATGTACCCACTTTAATTTTTTTTAACTTAGTAACAACTCTAAATATTCAATAAATTAAAATAATATTATTTTCATTTATTCAACTTTTTATACACCTTGGAATGCCAAACAAAGATGACGGTCCACTTGATGGTTCAAATGTAAGGAGCAACCATCGTCTAATAACAATACCATGAACACTAAACATGAACATCACTGAATACACTTCTTATTGCGTAGTTAAATCAAAACAATGGAAAATGAAAAACTAATTTATAGAAATTATTAAATATTTAATCGTATTAAATAGTTGTACTGCATGTATATAGAATAAATCAGACGACAAAATGCAAAAGTTCTTATAAAATTTACATTTTACAATCTAACCCGTTAATAACGTTTTACATAGAAAAAGAACGTTATAGAAACTATTATCTTTAGGTAAAATTAGTTTAAATAGCACATTTTTGTATATATCTATATAATAGTACACTTGTAATAACTTATGGAACGTAACTAAGTAGCTTAGGTATTCGTTTAAAGCGTTTCAGGTGACATACAAAATAACAAGGTAATTACTATACGAGTAAGTGTTCCTACAGAGCCCAATCTATATACAAGCAGCTGCTGTCAGTTCACTCACAAATAGTTACAAAGCTCTTTCGATTTTTGGCACTTTTCTTGACAATACGTAGCAGATGCATATTTGTCAGTATAAAAAGTTGCGCGAATGCTTGCAAGTTTATCTATATTAAGCCGTATATATGTAGTTTGAAATCTGTAGGGATAGCTGTTCTCGTGATAATAAGTTATAATATTAATGTGAACGAACATTTTTATAAACAGGTACTTGTCAATATGTTATACTAGTTTCCATTTATACTTAAAACCAATTTAACAGAATTGTGTTACAATGAATTGGTCTAAAAATATAATGGTTCAACACGATAACATTCGTCTATAGTCAAATTACTCATGGATTAGAAATAATCCAATTTAGTACAACTTACTACAATCTAATTTCGAATGAAAATTCTATTTTTAAAGTCTACATCTATAAAATAACAATTAAAAGACAGGTTTTAATTCATACCTGTGACAGTAGTGAAAATAAAAAGACTTTGATCATTCAACTTACACTAATTACACATTAAAAAAAATATTTATTTGAGTTTTTGTACTCTTAGAGGTTTCCGAGTTGTAAAAGAAAAAATATTTAGATAAAGTATAAGTATTGTAAGTAAATAAAAGTAACAAAAATAAAATGTTGGAAATTCATTTCTGCACAGTTTATTTCAAATAAATTCCAGTAAATGTAAATACAGAGATTAGAAACATATATTTGCGCATTATACTTAATTTCGTAATAATTATTGTAACATGTTAATAGTAATATGTTTTCAGTATTCTTTTGAGTGATTTTCCAATTTATTTTAATTATTCAAATAACATTTACATTTCTTTTAACAGTCTGTATGACATCGATACGATATCGAGACATTCTGTCGATCATACCTCAGTCTAGTCACACTGTGTGAAAAAATATATCTAATAGACATTTCATGGTAGATATACATAACTATTATATTGTTATATTTATACTTTGTTTTAGGCACTATGTTCCCTTTTTCGTTTACATGCTGAAAATCAAGAGATTGACTACAAACTAGCATTCTAAACATTACCACATGGAACAAAACGTGTTAGCCATTATTTGTGTATAAATGAATAGCGAAAATATGACATTTTTAAAGGATGTTTGTTTATTATACACATTATCGTATGTCTAATAAGAAGCAAACGAAGAAAAAAAAATGAGGCCAAATAAAAAATCTTCGACATCACATTAGAAGAATCTTTTCTTTTCCCAATTTTAAGGAATCATTTATACCTGTATCTGCTTATTTCGGTATCATGCCACGTTCCTAATATAAGAAATGATTTCAATTATTACATAGAATTAAAAACACATAATTCAAAATGAATTGTGATTAGCCAAAGACTTTTTATTTGCTACTATGTTTTATTAAATAGAAAATATTTTTCAGGTGTTTAACCACCACGCTGTGTCAATACAGCATCAATGAGTAAAATGGCCCCATTGATAATAGCGAGGGACGCCTTGGCGAGATTCTTGTTTGTTATGTCGTTCTTCGACGCATGCTGGTATCTGTAATAATAATAAACTTCATTTATTAAACCAATCCAAATCCGTATGGCTTCAAGAAAAAGGTTCTCAACCCAATTGCTTTTTTTTTTGTATTTTGTGTAACAACTTCGTCGATAGATGGCGGAAATATATAGTTTGACCCTCTATAACAATAATAATAAATAAATCTTTTGCTCTAACTTGAGAGATAGTATACTTTGTATTCCTATAAGAAATATGAATATGGTATATGATAAAACAACATTTACCGTGTCAGTTATGTATATTTATGTAATATAGAAAAAAATCTACGTTAAGTATAATATATTATATACTTACTTATCAATAATAACAGCACCACTTGCGACAAATAGGGCCACTCCAACCAAGGAATAGAATATGTCGATCCGTTTGTGTGATGGTGTCTGCATAACGTAGCCTGAAACGTGATTAGCATGATAATCAATAGCTGTCATAAAATTAAGGAATAGCGTAATTGCATAGCATTGATAATCATTCAGATAATAAAAAAATCTTATCATGTGCGATTAGCTAATAGGATTTGGCCTGCATAGTCAATAACTCGTAATTGTTGATGTAGATATAAGATTAAATTATTAAAAAGCTATGTCAAATCGAATTGTCAGGTGACTCAGAATCATTCTTTATGATGAATCTATGGATGAGGTAAGACCTAAGATAACGGCTGATATGATGATGATGTTATGATCAAGTCGTATGAAATCCAATAAGAACATTCACAAAACGAAATATTTTTTCCTAAGAATCAAAGACCAAAATGTTTACTATAGGAAAATGGAAAAGAACATTTTGGCTTATTGATGGCTGAACCAGTTGTCATTAAATTGTGAAATAATATTTACGAATACATTATACAACATAATATAACAAAATTGTCTATATTGAGTACTGTGCATGCTTTATGAGTTTTTTCCCAGAAAAATCATAGATATTTGACCCTCCTAGACTAGAGGAAAACGAATCTAGTAAATACGTTTTCCTTACCACACGCTTGAGAAAGAATAAGACTCTGGATGTTCCTGTCTGGTTCTATCTCGTATATACATAATTACTTAATAGATTTGTTTGCTACTTGTCTCTATTTTAGCAGATTTTCAGTGCCCTATATTTATAAATATAAAAAAAAATCAACCAATGTTAATAAAATATTTTGATGTTATACTTTATTATACAACAGATTGTAAATTAATAAGTAATTCAGGGATATATCCTAGTGAATATTAAAGTACTAACCAGCAGCGGCACCGGCAAAGATGATGAGGTATCCGACGAACGTGCCAGTGACCAGCATACCGATGTCAGCCTCCCAATTATAGCTGTGGTAGTGAAGAGCCACGCACGAACATGTCAGCGCCTGGAACCACAATACTTGTTATTAGTGCTGGATGTTGTAGTAGTTACTTAACTATACTATTGTTTGTATCTTCTGAAGCAGAGATTAATCTGTATGCTGTAAAAAAGACAGTAAATTTTTTTTGCTATATGGCGTGTGATGTCTATCAAAACATGATTTAACTCCCATATAAATGAATTTATCTCTTTGATATTTTTTTTTGATGGGTGAAAATGGTATGGTAACCCCGCCTACGCTAACGGGATACGCTGGCGGAGCACCAGTGAAAGGTGATAAATGAGAATGAAAAGAGGCCAGTTAGCCCATCATGATGAATTCATCAAGAATTAACCATGATAGTTTCCAGGAAGAACCGCGAGGAAATCGACCTGGTTGGGTATATTGCTAGCAATGGGATTCTCAGTCTCCATTACTAACAATTCCTTTCCCCCCTCTTTGATATATTTATTTTAGAGATAAAGAAATAGATCCTTTCTCCCTTTAGTATATTTATTTAGATTTAACTCTTTGGACAAACAAATCAGAGGAAAACTTTTTACAAAGTTGTCTGTAGAAATCTTGTGATCTCATTGGTGATTCTGATACTAAGTATCTTTGATATTGTGCTTTCTTGACTGTATTTCGGTTTTAAAGGTGGGATATTGCAATTAGTACTGGATGCGGACAAAAATATATACTTTACACCTTAGTCCTATTTATTTCTCTACAACTATTTAAATACAAATGAAGGATATCATAAGCAGTGTAGTCTATGATGCCTGGGTACTCTGTTATTTCTATTAACCACGGTTGTCACTTTCCATCAACAAACAAAAACAAGGCAAACAAGCTAACAGCCCATCTGTTGGCCAGCCCAGCTGTTAGTTTGTTTGCCATTTAACAACAAAGTAAGTTATACATTTTTCTATCTGAAATTTAGTGGTATGTGTGCCTTATGAACAGCTTATATTTTAATAAATATGTCATTCAAATAACATCTAGGATAAAAATATAGTCAAATTAAAAATCAAAAACTATCTATTATTAATTATCGAGCCCCAGCTCGATACATAATAATGGATAGTTTTTAATGAATATTTAATTAGAAAAAGTCTGCTGTTCAACAGCAGATTTTTTTCTAATTCATCCTTGGATCATTTAAGTAGCATTGTCACTTTGTTCATTGGACATCACGTATCACCGATCAAAATAAGTCACGTTAGAAACCTTCATGCGTAAACAAAGTCGGCCTAGACCGTTTGATACCAGAGGCTATCATTCTTACACGAGTAAGAGGTATGTAGATAGGTAAGTACGGTGCTATTGTGTTCTCCGAAATCATGTAGCTGAAAGGTTGACATAATTGCATAAAAACTATGATTTCCACTTAGCACAGTTAATAATTATCTATTTTTATCTTTACACAGAACTAATTACATAAAGTTCTATAAATCAATTCATGATACTATTGGAACTTTAAGAAGCCAAAGAATATCTCTTCATTTAAATAAAAAATTACGTAATTAATCCACATGGTCATACAATGTCGTAGCATCTCTTATCATATTTGGCTTCATCACATAGCGTTCGTCACATATGTAACAGTGACGCAGCTCACCATTATATTCATATTATGACGATATATGGATCACTATTTAGACTGTTAGATTTATTTAAGCTATATAATACTCGTGTGTTTAATCACAATATTTTTTCCTATTCATTTATTCTCTTACAATTTTAACCTACTAATCATACGGAAGGTAAGCATCTAATGTTTTTAGATTGAATGTATACGTATGTTATATGTTATGACTATATTACGTTATAAACCCAATGTCCAGAAAAAAAAAACAGGCACCCCAAACAGGTGGCAAACAAATTCATCAATGTATTCGTGATTCAAGGTAGAATAAGAGATTAAAAGAATAATATCTCACGAACCTGGTAGACCTATAAGTGCACTTGCTTTTAAACATAATTCGAAAGTTTCTATAATAATGTTGACAGTCTAATGTAAAGATTCATTGTGGTCTTTTCTTGGAAATGTTTGTTTATGATAAAGTTACTATACTGTGATTTTTTGGAGATAATAATAAAGAATATCTATCTATTCAACCCAGAGAAGCAATTTAAAGAAAGGAAACCTATAAATGAATGGGTAAGGTATAGTAAGGGTCGAGTATGAAACAGAAGGTGAAGTAATATGTAAGTACCCATGTTCGGATCTTTGATAATATCCTTAGATCCAAGTCAGAGTAATGTTAACAATCACTTGCTCTAAATATCTTGAAATTTTATTAATTAATATAGTTAAAACATTCTGTAAATGTGTCGTGAGTAGGTGTAGCCCTAGCCCTATCAGTTTAATGACGTCACTGGAGCAATTTTATTTGGTTGGGTGACGTTATTTGTGAACGTTTTGAGAACGATGATGTCATCTTTCGGTGCCTACCTACCCACCGTATAAATATAATGTAGATGCAAGTCGTGGCGAGGCCACGAGGCCGTTTAGTAATGAACCTTGTACGAGGATGAATTCGCAGAAAATTAGGTCAACATACGAGTATATATTTATATATTTTTGCTTTTAAACATTTTTATATTTCATTCCAATAACCTTTATACTTTCGTCTTTATTAAATACTATTTAAATAACAAAGATAATGTTCAAGCATACGATTTGCCCGTTGGTATCTAACTTATCATTAAAATATAAAAATAATATAAAAAAAATGGTTACAATTGTCCGATGGCATATGACATCCACGAGTGTCAAGTAAGTATTGCCGAAAATCATTTTAAGTTTATGAACCTGAAAAAGTATTTTTTAAGAGATTTCAGAAATAAGGAGATACATAATTCGCCTGTATTTTATATATAAAATGTTACATGTTATATTCGCCAATTCTGAACTACTTTAGTACCTAATTCTTCTTGCATTTGATGTAGTTACTTTGTTTAAATTCCATACATAGTTTTTATACTTACTATATTTATCATACAAAAAAAAATTAATTATTCATTCATCGATCTGTAACTATATTAATTTTAGTATGATATCACATTCTATTTCCATAAACCTACATATCCGTTTATTTAATGTTACTACTTGTACGGCAATTGGCATTAAGTGCGATTTAAACAATCATAAACAAATATATATTTGTTTGTGACTTCTGTTTCTGTATTCGTAATATATTTATACCAGTTTCACCTTAGAATGAGTATTCACCAAATGTATTCGCGTGATATAATAATATAATAGAAATCAGCATTACATCAATGAATATATTAAGATGTATACAATACTTTGCAGTGGCAGAACGTGGTAATGTAATGTAACATTACATGTTACCTGCATTACGCGAGCATGTTCGTTTCTCTAAATACCTGCACCTATCATAGCCTGTCCAATTTTTGCTGTCAAGTACCCATATATTATAATAATATAAAAGACAATTTTATATTATTATTTAATTGATGAAACAAAAATGTGTATATGACAAGGCCGTGTTGTCCTAGCACAGAATAGGCCACCCCTTCCTTTTCTATGGGTGTCGTAAGAAACGACTAAAGGAGGACGAGTGATGGGCAGTAGTATCCCTCTTAAAACGCATCCAATACCTAACTGCGGTTGCCTACCCACCTGTCAGACGTGGCAATTACTGGCAACATCCCCTTAGGTGGATGCTTATGTTATGATAAAAAACAATTAAATCACTGACACGAAAAATGTTCAACTATGAATACATTAAAACGCAATATTGCAGTGCAGAAACATGCTAACTATATAGATAATGTAACATGTTACTGACATTACATGTTTGAGCGTGTTCGCTTTGCTGAGTAACTATATCATAGTCTTGCCAATTTCTGCGTGAATTACCCAAGCATAGATTATTGTTTTTCATCAGTTAAATAATAAAAAACGTATTGAAATCACGGGTACAAATAATGAAAAATCTTAAGGACTAAAAAACAAAGCACTAATATGTGTATAGTAAATAATTGATTAATTGAAGCCCAAATTCAAATAATAAAGTAATCATTAATATTTTTGAATAATGAACTTTTAACGACATCACATTAGAAATACAGGGTTTTTGTTAGTGACAATTGAAATTTTAAATCTGTAATGGAGTAACATCGAAACAGATATTCAAACACAAACGAATGACGAAATTATAAAGGTTTCACTTCAGCTTACAGTTTTCAATTTTCGCCTGAGAACCCTGAGAAATACGAGTAAATAACCATTAAAGGTTAAATGGCGTCATAGAACATGTGGCATTGAAAGTTGTGTTAAAAAAGTAGTACCTAAGCCCAGAGGAAGTGTCGTATGCCACAGCTGAGAAGGTCACACGTCTGCTGTTATGCATTGAATTTGTCCTCGAGAGACTTTATCTAGACGATTAGATCTTTGAAAGTAACGTCATCAAAAAAAAATACTAAATACAGTAGAGAAAATATTTACTGCCTTACCACAAAAAGTTAAACTTATGGTGTTAAGTCTTCTATATATAAATAGCTAAAATGTAATCCGTATTAGGTTTTCCTTGTCTATTCATGTAACTGTAATTATGTAATTTTTATTAAAGTTATATAATATCACACGATTTTGTTTCTGTACAAGTATATAAATCTATACTAATTTTATATTACAAACTTTTGAATAAAAGTTTTTTTTATCTACAATCTATTTCATTTTACGAATTTTTTAATAATTTAAGTTCATAATGTGTTAATTTTAACTTTCAGATAACAACAAATACATGTTTCATTAATGGTTGACCTTTAACTGATAAACTATCAAATTGTCGGTGTTTTTATGGAAACGTTTTTATATTCTTTTTTTTTTTAAACATTAATATATTAATACTAGTTGAAATGTTCTATCTGAAAAGAGATTTAAAATTGTCAAAATGCATGGAACGAGTTATAAAAGCAGAGCAAGAGAATATTTAACAAGACCATCCAATTCTCTCTTTCTGCTCTGTAAGTGATTTCGATATCTGTGG